ACACCAGAACCGTCAACTGCCAGGACACAGCTACACTTTCTACGGAGATCAATACAGAGCACGCTCTCTGGCCACTCCAGAATACTGTCCTTTGAGGACTTGCTCCGTCCACACCCACCTCTGCCTCCTCTCTGGCTGCTGCTTCCTCCTCCACCTTTCCTTGTCAATAAAAAGAATGAGGAGCCCTCGGGGCCCACAGTGGGATCCCTCCCCAAACATCAGTTCCCTTAAACTAGAGAGATGTTTAGGGCTCCAAGCTACACGTGGCCTCTTGATGTAGGACATATGGCAACTTAACCTCAACACAGCTGCAAAACTGCATCAACTCCTGCCACTCCCCACCTGGATCCTGACTTCAGAAGGTGCCACTCCATTCCTCAGACAACCCTCCCTCTTCTTTCCTTTCCCCAAGTCCTTTACAAGGCCTAGTTCTTACCCGTCCATTGCTAAGGTCCATCAGCCCTGGCCTAGACCCTACAGTCAGCCCCCACCTGGCCTCCCTGCTTCCGCAATCTCTCCTCAAAGCAGACTAAGACGTCAGATGATATACCCCTGCTGGAAACCACTGGCTTCCCACAGCCCTGTGGGTAAGCATCCCCTGTTTATCGTGGCCTGGTAGGCACTTCGTGATCTGCCTCCCGAGATCTGGCCTTACCACAGACCACAGGCCACAAGACTCTGTGTTTACTGCAACAGTCATGCCACAGGTCTCCTGCTTTCCACACATATCAAGTCCTTTCTGTCTTAGAATCCGACCCTTCCCTTGCCTAGACAGCATTCTTTCCTGACATTCTCTGGCAGAATGCTACCCCCACAAAGTAGTCCTATCTTCCAGCCACCAAGAGTACTACTACTCCTGTTACTTTTTTTTTTATTTTTTCTCCTGGCCAGGCTGGTCTCCAACCCCTGGGCTCAAGCAATCTCCTGCCTCTGCCTCCTGAGTAGCTGGGGCCACAGGGGTGTGCCACAGTACCTGGCAATTTCCTGTCACTCTCTTCACATTCTTCATAGCACTCAACGTCACCTAAGGATGACGCTACTGCTTCTGACAATACCAACTACCCATGGGAAGATGAACAAAATGAGCCCCAAGACAAGAGTAGATATGCCTCCTCACCTGTTTCCCGCTGCAATCAAACCACCCGAGGGCTATCCTCAGCTAGGAACAAAGGCCGTGTGACAACCTACAGGGGAAGCCTAGCAATGGTGGAGCCTACCACACAATCTAGCAGGGCCGGCAGAACAGCTGCAGGGAGGAAGAACATCATGCCTGCTCGGGGGCTCACCTCTTGATCTGTTCCTCGATCTGTTTTACCAGCAGAGACTCGCCACCGCTAAGTCCTCCGGGGCCTGGTGAAGCCCTGGGTGGCCCCTCGATAGGCTCAGTGGCCCCATTGAGCTCCACGGAGCGACCCAGAAGGGAACGCACACGCTTGGACCTCATGTCCAGGATGGTATCTGTGTAGCCCACCTCTTCCAGGTATCTGTGGGGGCAGAGTCAGGTCAGCCTACACATGAATTAAGCTACTCTGGCCGCTGGGGCCATGCAGAACCCAGCAGCCTTCTGAAGGGCCACCAAAGAGCATACGGCAATTTTTCAGAAGCAACCCCTGAGCAGCAGTTTGGCTTCTGATACTTCTCAATGGAAGCCCTGGTCCCCATGCATGCTGCTATGGCACACGGTGTCCCCGACATGTAGGGGAGAGCCCACGTGCAGGAAAAGCCAGATGTCCATTGACGGACGCTAGGCGGAAGGTGACGAAGGCAGAGCGCCACGGAAGATGGCTGTGATCAGCAGCACAGCGAACATGGTGTATGTTCCATGTTCCATGGGATTCCAGGTTTTATAAAAATGGAAGAGTGTGAAGGTGTGCATATGTTTTCATCACACACACACACACACACACACACACGCACACTCACTCACACACACACACTCACATCACACACACAGACACACACACACACACACACACACTCACACTCACACACTCACACACACACATCACACACACAAACACACACACACACTCACACACACACACCACACACACAGACACACACACACACCACACAC